AACAGACTGCCTCTTTGTGAATTAGTTTTTCGTTGACAGTTTTTATAATGCTCAATTATTCTTTTATTTGCGATCATAAAACTCCATATTATATTCTTGCATTCTTTTTCATTAGTTTAGCTATAATAACTTTACCTGTTACGTTTTCACTTACCTATCTCGAAATACAAAAAGATTAAACATATTCACTATTGCGTGCATACAATTGTTAAAAATACGAATTGATTAATAAACATTGTAATGAATAAAGATCATTCCTCGTTAGTTTATTTCATTATAAAGTAATGGAATATTTGTTTTTTTTTTAATTTTCAACTGGTCTCAACGTCTGAGAAAAGTTGCAGCGAGGTTGCTGGTAAGTTGGCTGCTCAAAAAAATGTTCCCCGAGGTTGCAATGATGTTCTTTAAACGATTTTTACCATTAAACCTAAAAAGAATTCTCGCTTATAAACGTTCCCTCTAGGCTTCAGAAACGTTCCCGAGAAAGTTCCCCGTTGTTCGTTGCTGCGACGTTTCTGTCACTACAGAAAAAACCTTTATGGAATTAACTGCTTGAAACTTCAGCGGACATTGCGCAGTTGCAACAAAGTTTCACGGACGTTCCCATAAGGTTTCTCCGTTGGTTGCTTCGTTCCAAATTTGCCCTTACAGCAAAGTTTTACCAACGGACGCTGTTACTTGGGTCATTTGACAACGAATATGAGAGTTTTGCCAAATTAAATAGAATTTGCTAAATATTTGTTGCATGTCGGTAATGGAATATGGTAATGGTAAATAATCAGGATAGTAATATACAACTTCCAGATAACTGTATACTATCTTCTAATAAATGTATAGATCAAAACATTTTTGGTCAACTCGTCAAGGATAAAAAATTTAATGAAATTAGTCACTATACAATTTAATCTGCCCGGAATGTTGATGTTGATATGAATGATAAAATAACACATTTATTTGATAAACATACGGAACATATATTCATTGGCATCGACAACACAGAATACTGTGATATTGGTGAAATAGTAGATATTCTTTTACCCGAATATCTTAATTTATTAAATCCACCATACTTTCCCCTCACAAATTACGCTTGAGAAAATTTATTGTATAGTTATGCTGGTCAGAAATATAGATCTCAATGAAGGATTATGTAATGGAACACGGTGACAAATTATTGATTTCTTAAATTATTTATTATAACGTAAAATATTAACCGGAGATAAGCGCAATAACATTGTATTTCTCAATAGAACACGTGTTGTCAATATCAATATCCATGAACTTTCAAAAGACGACAATTCTCAATTCGACTAGCTTCTGCTATAACTATTAATAAATCTCAAGGACAAACTTTACAAAAAATTGGTATTTATCTTAGAAGAGATGTTTTTAATCATGGTAAGCTTTATGTTGCTATGTCCAGAGTGAAGCCGTAGGATTTTTTAAAAAATTATTTAGGAAATCAAAGGTCAAAAATTTTAGTTAAAAATTACGTTACACAGAATTGTATAAATAAGAATTTTTTTTAAGCATTCAAAACATTTTTACAATGCTACTAATTTTAATGACAGAGTAACTTGAATTTGAGTGCGCTAAGCGCGCTAACGTGTTCTAGTAGTATTTATTTTTATAAAATAATTTATCATTTTATGATTTTCTTAATTTTTAATGTGTCTATTAAAAGCTAAGCTTCATAACAGAGGTATTCAATAAATTTATATATCCTAAAAATAAATGTAATTTAAGAGCATGAAAATTATTTATCATATTATTTTAAGATTCGGCCGTTAAATACATATGAATGTTAATCTGCTTTTAATGCTAAGAAAACGTCTTACTACTTTTTTATTTACTCAATTAATGAATAGATGAATATAAAATCAATGTATACGACTCGAAATACTTATTAGCACAAATTTATTGAACATATGAGCTGCTGGACTAATAATATTGTTTACACAATTCCAATATACGTACGTATGCTTGTACACCGCTGTACAATAGTAACTAACGTTACTACCTTTCCGATAATCAGATCACGAATATAATGCCTTCACGTGACAGGCCATCACTTTTTTATATTGATTTATATAAGACAATCCATGAATAAAAAATGAATCTTATATTGATTAGCTTTTTTTAAAATTTTAGGTTACATGTTTAATTCATCAAAAATAATAACATTACCCTGTATATCAGTTATTTAAAGTTTATAGCGTAAGATTTGATTCATGCTGATTCATTCTATATTACTATACTCAAGAGTTTGTATAAAATAATTATATGCCTAGTCATTGGATTGCCATTTGAACTGGACAACTAAAATCATATTCCTTTTATTGGTACATGTTCAATCATAATATTCACTTAGAAAGCTTATATTTAAAATATGATTTTATTCATTAATTATAGTTTTTATTAACCATTTCTGTAGAATATGAATGAAACGTTGCAACGCTATGGATTCTACAGGAGCATTAGCAGAATCGTAGAAAGAACTATACAAGAAAATAATTTAGATATGTCATAGAAGACGTTTGTAGATTAAAGTCGAAGTAAAAGAAATCAATTAATCATGTATAGTTGTAACCTTCAATTTCAACTAGGCTGATACATTTTTGAAGATATATTCAGTTGTATAAATTTTTTTAATACATATAATATAATAGAGTTAAACTTTATGGTAATATAATATATGTAATCATTAAGCAATAGTTAAAAAATAGAATTATCTTTCAAAATTGCATTATAAAATTGCTATTCAATTTTTCTCAAAAATCAATAAACTAAATATTCAAAATAATATTTATATTACTTTCAAAATCTCAAATGATCATAAACGAGGTTTATGGATTACTTAAACATTAAGATTTTAGTAATTAATGATAACTTTTTAAAGGATAATATATTTTCAATATTACTTTTTTCTGCTTAAACGTCTTTATATGTGCCATTTTACCTACTTACAATTAGAAACATATACAGACTAAAAATATTGTTGCAGAGAAATTTATCATTATTCAAAAAAGGTTTTGGATTGTTTATGATTTAAATGACAAGAAAAAACTTGCCTGGAAGCCATAGCATTGAAAAACAATTTGGAGATTCTCTCTCTAGGGTTAATAAATATATGTTTTTTGGATTTTCGCACATGAATGTAATAATGTAATATATTATTCTTCATACACTTGTAAGTTGTATAATAAACCATATTATTACTCTCGATCATATTAAATCTTGTGCAATTCTAGAGCAAAGAAATAAAGTGACACCCAAACACTATGAATAAAAATGATCTCCACTCAATTTATTATTTACAACAATTCGCTGATATGTCTTCCAACCTCATCAGATCCTTTATTCAAAATAAATCAATCAGTTATTCAAAAATGATGATAATTCTACCATAAAATGATATCAAATCGAACAACAAAAAAACACATCAACGCAACTGAAAAATTTTTTAAGATCATGTCATCATGCTATGAGTCCACAAAAAATTTAATGTAAATTTTGTTAAATAAAATCAACAATATAGTCAAGTTAATACTTATAATATAATACATAGTCATCATAAAACGCAAAAATTTTTATTTAGTTTGACTTGTGAAATGTAACTTCTCTCTTACAATTTGTATTGCGTTCTCTGATTGTTATGTATTATATTATTATGAGTATTAACTTTACTATATTGTTGATTTTATTTAACAAAATTTACATTAAATTTTTTATGGACTCATAGCAATCAATGACATAATCTTAAAAAATTCTTCAGTTTTGTTGGTGTTTTTTTGTTGTTCGATTTGATATCATTTTATGGTAAAATTGTTATTATGTTCGTATAACTGATTGATTTATTTTGAATGAAGGACCTGATGAGGCTGGAGGACAAACCAGCGAAACGTTATCAATAATAAATATAGTGGAGATAATTTTTATTCATAGTATTTGGGTGTCAATCTTATTTCATTACTCTAGAATTTCGCAAGACTTATAAGTTGTACAAATTTCTAATAATACGAAAGCTGCAACAAGAATTTTAAAAGATAATTTTATCTTATCATTCTTTTTCTGAGAATTAAAATTAATTTCTCCTATCTGTTGTATTATACAGGAAATGAAGTATATATCCCCAGTAAGACTCAAACTTACGATTCGTGAATTCATAATTGTAAGTATAATAGTAATTTTGTCTGATTTGCAGTTGTTTACCAAAATTTTATAATTTTCTTTTACTAGCTATTTTGACAGTTTACAAATGGTTACTGTCAATTTTGGCAATATAAGGCATAGACTCCGGATTATGGTGTTATTTAAAATTGAATTATTTGAAACAGGACAAGTACAGACATAAAAAAAGTTATCAGATCATACTTTCTAAACAATAAAAATTCAATCTGAACGAATATTACCTACACTGTCTCTATCCTATATCATGACTATAGTTACTTTGAAATGGTTAGTCGGTATTTATACATAGATAAAAAGTTATTAATATTAGGTAACATTTTCAGAATAATAATAACAGACTATCATTTGATTTTATTACATTGTCAGAGAAATTTAGAATTGTGTTTTAAAGGGTTTTGTTTACAATACATACCAGTGGGGACTTCGCTGCACGGCAAAATTGGAGTCGAAATCATTTTAACGCCAACGATGTTTGCGATAATCTATAATAAATTTTTACCCTGCAGTTTAGTTAAATACAAATATATAATCACAATAATTATTTTTACTCTATTTTAATTGAATAACTTGCCCAAAACTATCTCATTATTCATAAAACTGCATATTCCGTATATATAAATACATGTATACATTGTATAGCTAGATAAACCATTCAACGATAAGTATAGACGATATTTAACTGAATAAAACAACTCAATAGGCAAACCAAAATTTATGAGTGAAAAAAATTAATAACTAGGTACAAATAACTTATTTAACTTTACTAAATTTTCAAATACACGTTAATGGAAATGTTCAAATTTACTACTGAAATGAACTATCTTTTACGAATCTGAGTAGTGATGTCTATTGTAGTTGCGAGAAGAAAATTGATGAAAAAATGATCTTTATTTATCTTCATTTTCATTTTCTTCTTCGTCGAAATCAGCGTCCTCTTCTGCAGAAGCTTCTTGGTATTGCTGGTATTCAGTGACTAAATCATTCATATTGCTCTCAGCTTCAGTAAATTCCATTTCGTCCATACCTACTTAGAATAAAATATCAAGAAATAAATACACTTATGTGATTTTTTTTAAATAGCGTGTGTATCCAATAGTGTGTGTGCACTAATGTGAGTGTGTTATGTGATTCATTGTACATGAATGTAAGTCATCAATATTCAAAGATAAGAAATAAATTTAATGAACTAATCACACCTTCGCCGGTATACCAATGAAGAAAAGCCTTTCGCCTGAACATAGCGGTAAATTGCTCAGAAACTCGTCTAAAAAGTTCCTGAATAGCAGTAGAGTTTCCAATGAAAGTAGCGGACATTTTGAGACCTCGCGGCGGTATATCGCAGACAGCGGTCTTGACGTTGCTTGGTATCCATTCAACGAAATATGAACTATTTTTATTCTGAATGTTAAGCATTTGCTCATCAACTTCCTTCATAGACATGCGGCCACGAAAAACGGCTGCGACGGTTAGATAGCGTCCGTTCCTTGGATCACATGCTGCCATCATATTCTTTGCATCGAACATTTGCTGAGTAAGTTCCGGTACGGTTAACGATCTATATTGCTGCGAACCCCTGTGAACAATAAATAGCCGGCAATATTATAGAAACAACGAAAGCTATGAAAATATAAATTAAAACTGAAATTAAATTAGATGATAATGAAATACCTAGAAGTAAGAGGAGCAAAGCCGGGTATAAAAAAATGCAATCTTGGGAATGGCACCATATTAACGGCCAACTTTCTTAAGTCCGCGTTTAGCTGACCAGGAAATCTTAAGCAAGTAGTAACACCGCTAAGGGTCGCGCAAACCAGATGGTTAAGATCCCCGTACGTGGGAGTCGTGAGTTTGAGAGTTCTAAAGCAAATGTCATAGAGAGCTTCGTTGTCGATGCAATACGATTCATCGGTATTCTCTACGAGCTGATGCACTGAGAGCGTGCAGTTATACGGCTCAACAACAGTATCAGAAACTTTAGGGGAAGGCACTACACTAAAAGTCATCATTATACGATCTGGATATTCTTCCCGAATTTTCGAGATGAGCAATGTGCCCATGCCTGCACCTGTACCACCACCTAGCGAGTGCGTTAGCTGGAACCCCTACTGATGCAAAACTGTTTATCGCAAGATCAACCTTGACATTTATTTTCAAGTAGTTGCCATTACCTGCAAACAATCGCAGCTCTCCGCTTCCTTGCGTACTACATCCAACACCGAATCAACCAGCTCGGCACCTTCGGTATAATGACCCTTGGCCCAATTATTACCAGCACCCGATTGTCCGAAAACGAAGTTGTCTGGCCGAAAAATTTGGCCAAATGGTCCAGAGCGTACGGCGTCCATGGTACCAGGCTCAAGATCCACTAGAATGGCCCGAGGGACATATTTACCTCCGGTGGCCTCGTTGTAGTACACATTGATACGCTCGAGCTGTAAGTCTGAGTCGCCGTGATATGCTCCAGTTGGATCAATGCCATGCTCATCTGATATTACTTCCCAAAACTATAATAGATAACAAGAAAACCATTACAACTTGACTATTTCAACTTTCCCATTATAATCATTATCTTTACACGTCATATTATTCATAATATACATGCGAAATCAGTAGTAGTATTTCCATTAAACTAATTTTAACGATTTATATAATAATATATTTATTTATATAATTATTATAACGATTTATATAATAATTTAACGATTTATATAATAATTTATATAACGATTTATATAAATGTATAGCATTTTATAAAATATGTTAACAGTATGTGGAATTAATATTGATTTAATGAAATAAAATTTTTTGACAAATACAGGTAGCTAATGTTGAAAGACAACTTAATATAAATCAAATCATACGAAATGAGCTTACTTTTGCTCCAATTTGATTGCCACATTGGCCGGCCTGCAAGTGAACAATTTCTCTCATAACGTAGTTCTTTTATCCTTTATGTTGTTAATGGGTCAAAGTTGAGTGATTTAATTTTCGCCTGAAATTTTTTGTCTTTTTGCTTTATTATTACACTTTAATACTTGACAATTCAACTCTATTTCAGAAAAATATGATCTGTTAGAGTAAAACTTCGATCACGTTTTTCATTCTAACAGCATTTGTTATTATTCGTTCCCTTGGAAACGATCAAAACATGACAAATGCTTATTGGCTGTTATGTTAGTTTCAGAACGGCTTTTCTAAAATATTGTGAAATACTTACACACACACACACACACACACACACACACACACACACGCACGCACGCACACGCACACGCACGCACACGCACACGCACACGCACACGCACACACACACACGCACACGCACACGCACACGCACGCACACACACACATATATATATATATATAATGGCATATGCACCTTTTAATTTGGAAAACCTTTTAAAAAAGATTCCAGTTGACTGTTTTAATAAATATATTTAAATAAACATAAGAACATTTTTCTACTTATTTTACTTTTTATCCTTAAATTGAATAATTAACGTTTTAAAAATTAATTTCATAAATGAATGAATAAATACCTCATTAGTTTGGTAAAATTTAATAGTTAAGTTTTCACTTCGCACATTTTTTAATCTTAACTTGAATTTTATCAGAAATTACAATAACTTACAATCATATAAACTTCCAAAATAAATTCTTGCATCAAATTCTTAACACCGAAAAAAATTGCTCGTCTTCAATAAAATTGAAGTTACAAACGAACTACAATTAATGAAGTAACAGCATGCGTGCTTTCTTATTTTAAGTTGAATCTGTATTTATACATGTACTACCAGTTAAAAGTTTAAGATCGCCAACAAAATTAAATTCAAATCTTAACAGTTTGATATATCAAAAATAAACTCGTTGAACGTTGAAAACTCACCCGCAGATTATTTAAAAGCTCTGTTAACATAATTAAAAAAGTATTTCTTATATTTTTTCGTACAACATTCGAAGTTGTAGCTACATTGTATTTATGTTCCATAAATCGCCATATTTTTCATTGTTTTTTTGAAATTGTACATCTCTGCGAAAAATTAATGTATCCCAACAGGATAAATACTATTGTAAAGTATGCTCAAAGAGCTGTAAGATGATTTTTCGAAATCTCGTTTTAGTTCATTGTTGAATTAGTTATAAAGTGTTTGTTTCTATCGAAAAATATTTTTTATTTAATAAACTATGGAATCTAAGAAAAAATAAAGAAAAAACGTTTGCTTGACTTTTTTGTAAATGTGCGAAAATGAAAATATTCGTATATTGTGAGCATTCATGATAATCGAATTGAATAACTTAATGGGCCGAAAGGCTAAACTTTCAACGCAAAAAAAATCTGCCATTATTGCATTAAGAGAACATGGACTTTCATACTAGGCTATTTGTGATGAAGTGTTTCTTACGGTGCAGTGAAAAATTTAACAGTGAAAAAATTTAAACAAAGAATTAACATGGGGAGTCGTAGTCGCATAAGCCGTTTTCGTAAAACAACCGTGGAGTAAGATTAACATATTATTTTTGAAATAAATGGGATCGTTGGAAAACTATACAGTAAACTAACTCTAGCCGATCCAACTGCACATACTTGTATCATCTTTAACTATTCAACGGTGTCTCTGGAGTGCTGATTTTAATGGTCGTTTAGCAAGATTAAGAAACTTCTCGTGAGAGCAGTTAATATACGGAAAAAGTTAGCTTAGGTCAAAAATACAAAGATTGGACATCCGAACAATGGAAGAAAGTCCTCTCTCGTGACAAGTCAAAATTTGACTTGTTTTCGTCAAAGCACCGTGTGTATGTAGGTCGGTAAGTACATAAAACAATTAGTGCACAATGCATTATTCTTACAATTAAGCATAGGAGTGACTTAACAATGGTTTGGGGATATTTTCCTTAAACTGTAGAAGGCGATTTTGTAGAAATTGATGGGATTACGGATGAAACAGTGTATTATAAAATTTTTCAGTACTATGTTATTCCGTCTAGTACTCGACTTGTTGAAAAAAATTTTACCATGCATCAAGACAATGATTCAAAGAATATGTCAAAGCTCTGTTTTAATTGCTTAAAATCCTGTCGAGAATAATTTATACATAAAATTATAATAAATATAAATCATCAGTTAGTAACATTTGCTAATAATTATTTAGAATTTATAACTGTTTTTATACGTTAGATTCTCGACATGTGTAACAATTATAAAGAGTTATTTTCCGTTAGAAAACTTTCATTATTAAATAATAACAGTTTTCTTCAGTTACAAATGGTAATTTGTATTTTCATTCACCAAAATAAATTCCTTTTAAGAAATGATGTATGCAAATAACTTACGGTGCGCTTGAACGGTCGTTAAATTAGAAGTGAAAAGCACATTGAATTTTCTTTTTTTAAATGATACTACAGCATATGTAGATACTAATTTAGTTCATTTTCAAACGCGTCGAGCAAGTCCATACTGATTAAAAATTCAAGGATAAATACACTGAAAAGACTTTTGAGGTGTAGTTCCCTAGTCCCACGTTGTGGTACGTCAAAATACTAAGTAACTAATAACTATTAACTAATATGCTTGAGTTTTCGAGGTCTCGCCCCACTTCTACCGACAGATAGCTGCTCAGCAGCGATGAGCATTCGGTCACCCATCCCAAACTTCTTTTTCTCCTATTCATAACGCATCTACGTGTGTTGTACACTTGTGGCTGTTCTATCATTATACCGTGTCCGAATTCCGCGTTTCAAATTAGTTTTGTTATAAAGAGGGAAAATACGAAAATTCTCAATTGTACAATATATAGCTATTGTTTGGTCATCAGCATATTAAATTGATGTTAGCCTCGGGAAGTACTGATTATATATTTTCAAGTACAATTTGATATGTGGCCTAGTAGTAAGAGTAAAAATCCAAAGAAAGAGGTATTGTAATAAATATAATTTATATTCTCATACTATTTTTTGAAGAATTAAGGAAAATGTAAACATGTCATAAATTGTTAAATCCTAATTAGTTCATTCTTATTTGAGCTCCGTAAGTCCATAGGTCATATGGTAAATTTGGTAAATTATAATTCTTGTTTGAATCATTTTAAATTCTTTGTTATATCTAGAACAGCTGACAATAAATGAGTCAATAAATATAAGATAATTATATCTAGAGCGTAATATCGAATTGAAATTTCCAGAGCAAATTGAACAGAATGTAAAGAGTTGACATCGGTCCAAACAGAGTCTAACACTGAAATTGTTGAAAGTAATTGTGAAACAGTGTCAAAGTATGTTTAATTATTAAAATTTTTTAGATTGATATTTATTGTTTTTAATTCGTTTTTAATATAGATATTACAGGTCTGAACTTTGGTTATAAATTTGCTGAAGTGTCAAAATTTACTGCTGACAATAACAATGACAACGTCAACTCTTTATATTCTGTTCAATTTGCTCTGGAAATTTTAATTCAGCATTACGCTTTAGACATTGTCTAGCTATAATAAAGAATTTATAATGATTCAAACAAGAATTATAATTTAAAAATAACATGAGAATATAAACTATACTTGTTAAAATACCTCTTTCTTTGGACTTTTGCTCTTACTACCCACACAGCATGAATTAATTCTGTGATGTTCGTATCACTTATAAATAAAAATAATTCGAACTCTTGTAATGTAGCTAATGAGTAAGAATTTGTTTCCGATGATTTTACTCTAATTGTCAAGAGAATAGATAAATGAAACAAATATAATAAGTAAGTAAATCAAATATATATAAGTAATTGCGATATATCGAGGAAAGTCAGACAATACCCTAGTTTCTTATGGTGCGAATTGTCCCATAAGCAGAGCTAAAGTCTTTCTTTGATAGGATATAATTCGGCCCAAGTTTCTTATAGCGCGAGATGTTCTATAAGTCGAGCTCAAATTATAAGGAAAGGTTAGTCTTGCTTAGTAAATCACAATGAGAGAAAGAACTTAGATGTTAATCCAAGTTTATTCAGACTCATGCGCTCACTTTGCAAGGCTAGAAGTGAATGAATCTAGCCTGTGCAAAGGTGGGCCTATTTATACACAGATTTTCCCGCTTATTATTGCAGGAGAGATTTCATCGAAAATTCGAGAGACATTCGCGAATTTTGAGAAATGATTTTTCTTCATTTACAAGTAAATAACCATTAATATTAAGTTTTTAACACATGTAAATTTTACAGAATTAGTTATTTGTTGATTTTATATAATATACAATTATCGCCAATAGTGTCGTCAAAAGTTATTAACTAATAAAGTTAATTAACGTGATATTACATTATTTACAATAGAAAATTGTTAAAATTTCATATAACCTTAAAGTTGATTAATTTTGGAAGTATTTTCCAAAATTAATTATTTAAATAAATTAATAACATTTGAATTATGACTAATTTTTCATATTTGTAACGGTTTTCTTCTAATCTTAACATGCGATTATTTGATTAATTATCTAAGATTTCTAAATCCTAACATTATTGTCATTATCAAGTATTAACTTAATATTTTCGTTCTATATATAGCTTATTGTTTAAATAAATTATTAATTGTTTATTTATTAATAACAGTTGTTATTTAGCTGTTATTAATGAAACCAATTCTTACTCATGTTCTATGCTTATTCATTTTACATATAAATTATTTATATTTTTCTAATATTTCATATGTTAATAAATAAATTAACTTTACATATCGATATTCATTATAAATTTATAATTGAATGAGATATTGTGAATCTGTATGTTAAAATCTATATAATTGATACTTTGTTATATTCAAATTATCTATAATTAACATATTTTTCTCAATATTATGGTTCATTATATCTATGTCTATTATTTGTGACGTCACGCTATTTGTTTTGACTCGACTTTTATTTGTATACAGTCGCGTAAACAGTGAGGTAGCGCCGCT